AGTGCTGGCCTGCGGACTGAAGGGTCCCCAGTTCGATTCCAGTCAAGGGCACATGCCGGGGTTGCAGGCTCGATCCCCATTAGGGGGAGTGCAGGAGGAAGCCCATCAATGATTCTCATAATTGATGTTTCTATCTTTCTCTACCTTTCTCTCTGAAATCAATAAAAATACATTTTAAAAAATAAAAATAATAAAAAAAATGGCTGCTGGGCATTTAGGGCATTGAGGGGAGGATCTCAGTAGAATATTCACCAGCTTTAATCTGATGAGCCAAAATGAGATTGACCCTGACTTTCTCTCTGAAATTAATAAAAATATATTTAAAAAAAGAAGGTGGGGGAGGAGTCTTCTATCTGTCCCTCTGAATAGGGTGGTTTAAGCTATTTACCCTCTGGTTGGGAGGAAAGGGGAAGCCATCTACTCTTAAGTGTCCTTGCTTAGGGGAGATAGGATTTTGGGATTTACTAGGTGGCTGTAAACTGGTGGGCTGGTTAAGTATCTGTCTCAGTTTCCCTATTCCACTTGTCCGGGCTTACTACCTGTCTCAGCACCACCTGACCTGCACAATCTCTCCACCAACTGGTTTTCAGGTCCCTCATTTGCTGGGTCTCCACATGGCAGCCAAAGTGACCTTCACCCTGAGTCGGGCCACTCCTGTGCTCAGAGCTCCCACACCTCCTGCCTTTTCGGAGAAGCAGCAGGCTGCACTCTGGCCCTGGGCGTGTGCACGGCCCGGCCGGTCCCTCTTCAGACCATCTACCTGCTTATCTCCTCCACACACACTGGCCTCAGGACCTTGGCACCTGCTCTCTCTATGCTTCGAACGTTCCTTTCTTATCCCAGAGAGCTGCACAGCTGGCGCCATCCGTGTGTGCCAAGGCCCCCTACCCGAGGCGGCCTGACCCACCCCCACCTCGTGTGCTCACGTTCTCCTCCGGGCACGGGCATCGCTTTCTTCTGCCAGTGCAATCTAACCCCAGGGGACATGGCTGTGTGTACCGTCACCTGGAATGAGGCCTGGTGTGCATGGAGCAGGTGCTGAAGACACCTAGCGGTTGCACACCCGTCCGCTTGAGCTGATGTCCATGATTTTTTAAAAAAAGATTTAAAATTGATTCTTAGGGAGTGAGGAAGGGAGAGAGAAAGAACAAAACATCGCTGTGAGAGGGACACATAGACTGGCTGCCTCCTGCATCTGCCCTGACCAGGGATCGAGCCCGCACCTCTCAGTGCACAGGAGGATGCTCAACAAACTGAGCCACAGCGGCCAGGGCTCAAGCTGACACCCGATGGCACCCTACTTGCCGTGAGGGCCAGGGGGGACCTGGCGGAGGCTCTTTTGATGCCTCATGGCCTGTTCTTCTCTCGCAGGAAGCTATGCCCCAGACGTCCATCATCTGCTCCAGTGTACTTGGGCCCAGCTGTAGTGGACAGGTGCCGCCTGGCATGGGGGAGCGAGGAGGTGGGGCCAGCGGCTCCGGGGACCTCATCTTCCAGGATGGCCGCCTCATCTCCGGGTCCCTGGAGGCCTTGATGGAGCACCTGGTCCCCACAGTGGACTATTACCCTGATGTGAGTGCTGGGCCTGGAGAACGGTGTGGTGGGGGAGGGGGTGACCTGGGCTGCAGGGGAAGCTGCTGCCTGACTGGGAGGGAGTATCAGGGGAGGGGCATGGCAGGCCAGGGGGAGGGACTTCCCTGTGGCCCCCAGGCAGGTAGAAGATGGCCCTGGTGGTGCCAGCAAGCGACAGGTTCTGTGAAGGGCCCGGGGGAGGAAGAGGAGTCTAAAGGGCCAGCAGGTGCTGTGGAGTCTGTGAGGCCTCACCCTGCACGTGTCCCATCCCTGAGCTGGGAGGTTTGCTTTGTGCATGAACCGCCATAGTCCAAAGTGAAGAGGGGACAGCCCTGCACGACCGCCAGCATTCGGACCCGCCAGCGCCCGCACTGCAGGGCCGCTTCCACCTACCGTCCAGATCCGCCCTCTTCACCTCAGCATGAGATGGGCATGGCCGGACCAAACAGGACCAGAGAGAAAGAATTCCCTTGTCACGTGTGGGTTCCTCTGCCTCTGGGAGCAGCGGGCCTGCCTGCTCCCTTTCAGACCCAAGCTGCACTGACCCTTCTGGTGCCACTTCGTCCCCAGGGCAGAGCTGGGCTTTCTGGCCTTTGTGAGTCAGGCGTAGCCTATGGGACATGGGGGAGAAGCCGGCTGGCGTGGCTCAGTGGTTGAGC